TATATTTTTAGTATTTAGTGAATTTTTTAAAGATTTTTTTTTTATAAATATTATACTTTTTAAGTGTATTTATGTTAAGTGTGTCTAAAAATTACAAAAAAAATTACTTAAAATATTAAAAAAATTCAATAAAAATAAAAATACAGAAAACAAAAATGTAAAATTTTAAAAAAAATAAATTTTGAAAATAAAAATCAAACAGAGTGAATATAACTCAAAAAAAATAAAAATAAAAAACTAAAGTATTAACTTTTAACCATGTTATCAAAAATAAATCTGAGGATCTAGAATCAACTTTAATAGTTAGTCTTGACTTTTGGGGCCTAGCGCTTTTCTTTTCTTTTCTTTTTTTTCTTTTTACCATTCTCCAGGGGAAATTGACACCTCTGTTTTGTTTCCTAATCAGTCCTCAAAATTAGTGATCTATAAGGAAAGATAATTATAATTATGGTTAGATAACGTACTATCTGATGAAACTAATATGGTCGCCTAAGATTGGGTCGGACTAATTCAGGTGCTTCACGGGTCGTCTCTTCTTAGTCTTCTTAGACACACTTGCAACATGTCTATTAGGAAGGTTCTGAAGTGGGGTGGTTCCTTCCCATAGACCCTTTAACGATCAAGTTAGGTGGTATCGAATAATAGTTTAGAGAGAAAAAGAGAGAAGAGAGCTTTCTTCCTACCAAAAATGTTTTTCAAAGGCTTCCTTATATTGCTCATTAATCATTTCCTTATCCATTCATGCTATCCTATTGGCCGAAAGCCTACCATTTTCTTGCTGTCGACCATGGTGGTTTTCCCACGTCTTAGAGCGAGAGGTCTTGTTGCATTTAACACTTTGACAGTCTCATTTAATGTTTGGCACATGGGCTCAATAACTCTCCAAAATCTTTATCTACCACGTAGCCAACTTCCTACCTGACATATGTCTAGCTGGTACCTGGGCTTGACCATTGTGAGTTCTCTACTGGGCTTAGTGTTGGGCCTGTCTTGCTCGGCTTCAGGCGAGTGACTGCTTGGTAACCCAAGACAGCCCCTTTTGGGCCATGCCCATCAATAGTCCCCCATTCTCGAGCGCAACTTTAATCCAATGAAGAGAATAGTAAAAATGGAAACAAGCCCCCAAGTTGCAGGTGAAGGAGCCAACCGATTGGGCAAGACAGTCGAGCAAAAGCATCCGACCGGTAAAGGGGCTAACATAGGGCATCTGATCGGCAAGGTGGCCAACCGTCAGTACGACCGATCGAGGGTGTCCGACCGGCGAGGTGTCCGACCGAGTAACAACGTCGACTGGGAGGCGAAGGGTTAAATGTTCCGGCAGGGCGCAGGGCTCGAGGAACAGGAATGCACATGACGACATAACGGGAGGCAGGTAGTGGAACAACTCCGTTCGTCCACGTAGAGGAATCGAGGCCGCTAGTGTCGATTTGGAATGATTCTGAAGGCAAATAGTGGGGAGGGAAAGCGAAACACACACGAATTGATTTGTGTATAAGTTTATTTTTTTACATAAACAGCTTTTATGGTTAAATAATGTACTATCAATTGATGTGTATAACTTTATTTTTTTTACATAAGCACCTTTGTTGAGATCTTTCCAACTATGCAATTGACATACTAATTAAAGTCTAGTTTAGGGTTTGACTTTTTTTGGTAATTTTTTGGTCTTTAATTTTTTTTATGATGTGAAAAAAATTAGGATAAATTACAATAAATTTTCTTAAATACATATTTACATTTTGACCTCCTGAATTTCAAAACTCATCTGTTAATCTTTCAAAATATTATATTATTATAGTTTATCCTTTTTGTTAGGATTTTATTAGGAATTTATAAAAAATCAAATTATGTATAAAATATATGACACATTTATTAAAATTTTAAAACATTAATGTCCTTATCTGGTTATTATCTTTGCATTTTGCTACAAAGATAAGGAAGGCAAAGTGCAAATGAAATGATAAGAGTTGTATTCGGTGTGTTTAATTTTCTGAATTCAATTTTTTGAAAATTGAGCTTTTTGTTTTTCGTATTTTTTTGTTATTAGTGAATATTTTAAAATTTTTAAGTAATTTTTTTACTTTTTTAGATGCATCTTACTTAGATGTATCTAAAAAGTAAAATATTCGTGAAAAAATATTTTAAAAAATTAATAAATACAAAAAATATATATATACTGAATTTTTTTTATATGGATTTTTAGTAGTCAATGAATTTTTTAAAGATTTTTTTTATAAAAATTATACTTTTTAAGTATATTTATGTTAGGTGTATCTAAGAATTAAAAAAATTACTTAAAATATTAAGAAATTTCAGTGAAAACAAAAAATACGAAAAATAAAAAAGTAAAATTTTCTAAAATGTATTTTTTAAAAATCAAAACCAAATAGATTGATTATTATCTTAAAATTTTAATAATATATCATGTGTTTTAATGAAATTCACAGCCGGCTAGACCCTATTTGTGTCTTTTTATTTTTATTTTTTTATAAATACATTTTTGTATTGAAATCCATTTTCTTTGATGTACATTTTCCCCCTCAATTATATTTGACACATTTGTAAATATATCAAAGTTAATTTTCACAATAAATTGACGCTTTCTCTTTCTTTTTCTTTTTGTGATGATAACGCAAGAGAGCAAAATCTTATTTCTTGCAAGGCATTTCATATCATTTTTATCTCTCTCATCTCAACTCTAAGTAGTCTTCTCCAAGTGAAGTACCAAAGCAAGAATTATTCTCCATTCGACGACGCTCACTTCATAATTATTGTAGCCTTCATCGTCGCTATGCTCCTCTATGTCGTAGCATTAGCAGCTGAGATAACTCAATGCACAAGCTATCGCAAAGTTCTTGGACATATGGGTCTCTTCTCCGGAGCTCTTGCCTCAATTTTATTGTTACTAATTCTCGTTCCAATTTTGGGATGGTCTCTTTTAATCTTATGGGGTATTATCTTTGTAAGGGTATTGCATAACTCAATTACTGAATTGGCTTACAAAATGTTGTTTAATGTGTTACAAATGCTCATGAATCATAACTCGAGAGAGCAAAGATATAGGTTGCCTATGCAATGATAATTGTTATATTACAAATAATATTAATAATTTGTTTCTATAATTTAAATTTTGTGTCATTTTGATCTCCAAATGTTAATTTAGTACCTAATATATAAAAAATATTTTTAATTTGATCCTCAATGTTTGCATCTATTAACTGCATTAGTGTGTGAAGACAATTTGTTGTATTCAGTCAATCCGACAAACGGAGTTCAAAATTTTGTTCCATTACCTGCTAAAATAAGACTTACATACCTATATTTTTTTTAAGCTTAAATAAATCATCTTACAAACACTAAAAATCTAAACCGCAATGGCACAATGTATCACAAAGAACAAAAAACTATAAATACAAGAGATAAACGTAAAATCACACAAGTCTAAATCAAAGGACCACAATGATTAGGCACACTCAACCTAATTTTTTCTTAAATTTTTTCTGATCTCTGACCTATATTTGGAACTTGAATTGTTTCACAACAAGATAAAAAATGTGGTACATCACATTTTATAACATAACGGTATGATAAGAATGGATTTCTTTAGATTACATTATCAAAATTTAAGTATTTTAAGAATAATTTTCTATCAACAATTACACATCCAATGAAATGTTACTTTCTTTTTTCAAATTTATGAATTTACAACATATTTTTATAAGTTTTATGACTCATTTTTTTATATTTTATCATACCAAGAACTTCTAACATATTACATTCGATTTGTTTTTATTCTAAAACAACTTTTAAGATTTGTATTAAAAATATTTTTGAATCGTTAAATTTGTCACTTTGAAAAGAAAATGCATCACCTTTTAAAATATGCATTTCAAAACATAAATCACTATACTATTAATATTTTTTGATACCACTAAATCCGACCAAACCAAACCTCTTATATCCCTATTTATGTGTTCAAATAATGTACGAGGAAATTCAGTGTGACCTAACCACTTAGGTGTCGTTTGATGACGTTGCCACAGAAAATAAGAAACATATTTTTGCTTTTGATAACACAAATATTTTCAAAATATACAAAAACAAACTTATCAAATTTACTGGCACCATTGAATAAATTCACACTCAAAAGGATCTCTGAAAAAAATTTCAATTCTGGCAAAAAATTCAATAGTAATGATTAATATATATATACATACAAGTTCATCAAAACTTTATAGAGGATATTGGTTACAGAATAGAATACAGGTGAACGCAAAACACAGCTAAACGTTCATTTCCTACAAATTTAGCCAAAAACAGTGCTGCTACTAAAAATGAGTTCTCCCATGGATTCTTCAGCTTGATCCATCAATCAGGTGATCAGATGATGCACTCTGCAAACCAAAGCATTTTCTTCGGGAGAATGGAACGGCCAGCCTGCGACTCAGCACCAACAACCCCAGTATATGCAATTCCATTTCTCATTTGCCGTCCCGGACCAGCCTTGCTTTGTATGATTTAGACTTTTCATGATGTCAATAATACTTTTGGTCGTCCTTTGGCAGGGACCAGACACAGTTCATTCTTGTCATCCCATCTCTGTCCCAGAATACAACTTTGAATAAATGAACAAGGACGATGGTTCTTGTCCTGGATGCACCACTAATGCAGGCTCTCACTCAGCACTAGCCTCCGGCTAAACAGACTTGAATCAAAGATAAATCGAAGCACCTTTTCGAAAATGCAACATTTTCAACAATAATCTGTTTCCCAATTCAGATTCTCTTTTGGGAAAAAGAACCAGTGAAAGTATTGGAAGAGTAGAACCATCCGTAATAACTCCTAGTGAATGGATTGGATCCGTTGTTGAAGATCAAGGATCAGAAATTCTAGAGGAGACTGTTCTGTCTAATTTGGTTTTGAGACGCTGGTTACTATGCATCGGCCTCACTTCTAGGCTTTGTCAATCCTCTGTTCACACTGAGACAGCATGTTTGTGTTGACTCGTTTCTCTTTTGATAGAATTGTTGCTCGTTTTAGAACTGCAGAAAGAGTTTGAAAAGTCACTGCAACACATATTCCAGTTACAAGATAATACTACATCCTGAATGGACTAAGAGGTTAAGCTAGGGACAAGAAATAAATCATTAAAAAACAAATAGTCAACTTTTCCAAAGCTGGAATTTGTGAACTGTGAATGCCTAGAATACAACAAAGATGCATTGGAATTACCTAGATAGCTTCTCATAAATGGATTCAGAGTAACATCTGCTCACAATCCGATTTGTGAAGATCATTGTATCCTGGGAGATAGACGCCACTCAACCGTAAGCACCGTAGCGGGGCGAATCTGTCTTAAGGACAGAGTGTCACACACTCGACTTGGTCTTAAATTATTTATTCAGTTTAATAAATAAATTCGGTACGTTATTTATTTATTTGTTTGGATTTATTTCTATTTATTTTATTTACACAGAAGATTGTTCCAACATAAAATACAAGTCCAACTTCCATTTTTTTGAAGGTATTGGCTGATCAAGTTAGGTCAAGTGACCTCTCATATGTTATTTGTCTGAATTTAAACAGATTAAAAAAAATACATTTACATTCATCTGTTCAGATCATTAAATTGGTTGAGGTTTTTGACTTTAACGAGTCGGATAACAACAATGTTAGGTTGTCCGAAATTTCATAGTTCGAATGGTTTGAATATGTCAAAACGACGTCGTTTTAGGCGTAAAATAATATCATTTTGACACATTCAAACTATTCCAATCGCACAAATTTAAGTCACCAAACATTTTTCGTCGGATAAATTCTCATCCAGCTGTGGTTGTCCAGACAATGACAGTAAAATGGTTGTCAAATCAATGAAATCAAATGGTAGGCCCTTTTCAGTTTTTGCATCCCAATGAAATTGAAAGGTAGGCCCTTTCCTTTCCATACGTTCAGTTTTTGCATCTCGCAGTGTCCACACGGTTTTGATTCACTTAGTACCGAAAAAGAATTTAAATAAATAAATTATTCCACTATAAATAGACCGGGGTTTCCATATCAAGCTCAGGAGGGGAGAGAAGAAGAGAGAGATTGTGAACATGTCCAACCCACAATGGATAAATATTATGAATGACAAGTAAGTATTTGTTTATCTTTCTTTCTTTTTCTTTTTTTTCTTTTTCTTTTTTTTTCTTTTTTATTTTGATTAAAAGTCTTAGATACTGGTTAGTTTACGTTTTGTAACTTTGTATATGAAATTTTTTGAAGTTTGTGTTATTCCTATGGAAACTCAAATCCTCTATGTTGTTAGGGAAAATCGATGTGATTCCCCACAAGTAAATCAATCAATGGGAATAAAAACTAATGCGGAAAAATTAAATCAAAAGCAACACAAGAATTTTTACGTGGTTCCCTCAATGTGAGGTACGTCCACGGGATCGAAATCCGATTCCACTATCAACCAAATAAGTTCCAAACGATTACAAACGAGACACTAATGGTCTCACAAAATCACCCTTAGGTGAATTCCAAATAATCACAAATAAACAAAGAGGAAAGACCTCACCAAATAGATGAACCAAAATCTTCTGAACCAAAGTTGAAGAAGATTCAAAATAACGAACCAAATCAACACCGAAAACGAATCAGCCGCTTCAAAGTAGAGCACCAAACCAAGGCATCAACTCTTGATTGACCAAGTCAAAACCCAAAGCACCAATCAATACTAATTAAAAAACCCAACAAGTTGAGTTATGCACTGAGCATTGCCGAAACAAAGGTGCTGCCGTACTACTCATGAAAAACAATACACCCCAAAATTATATTGTGGATCTAGAGTTTATTATCAAATCCTAATTGTATCCAAATTGAATTGGGTCTCTTCAAATATAATATATAAAAATATATTATACTAAACCAAGCCAAATTAAACCTCTTTTAATAAATCAACTGGGTCCCACACTCCAATAAGGAGGTATACCCAACATATAATACACTATAAAAAATGTTAGACAACATTTTAGGAATATAAAAAGGAGGAAAGGATCATGTTTTATTCTACTTTATCAATAAATCCTATTATTTTTGGCAATACACTTGCCAAATTCATAGAATTCCTCTTCCCCCGCTAGTAAAATTCTTTGGACTACGGACAGTAGGAAATAAAAACTTGTTTCAAAAGGCTTATTCAAATTGTAGATACTCTAGTGCGTGCAAGTTGGCACAAGACATTCTACATATCCAAAAAAAATATATATATCTTTATTCCTAAATTTTTATGTTATCTTAAAATATTTATGATCATTTAATTATGCAAAAAATTTTAAGAGTAATTCTATCAAAAAATTTATTAAGCACTCACATGGTATGAGACCCACATAAATGTGAGATTTATACTTATGTGAGTATTTAATAAAAAATTTAATATATTATTTGAGTCTACCATTTTTTGATTTTAAAACACAATGTAATGAAAATATTTTGTAGCAAAAAAAGTAACAAGGATTCCATGCCATTTATCTTTCTTGTTTGGTTGTTATTTTGTTTGCCTACACTGTCGAATTTAGTTCCCCCGCAATAGTACAGGCAGACTACTATCTAGACTCAACTCATAATGTTTGATGATTAGTCTTGACTGCTGAGGTCTAGTGTTTTTCTTCTCTCTTTTTTTCCATTCTGTAGTGGTAATTGACACCTCTGTTTTGTTTCCTAATCAATCCTCAAAATTAGTGATCTAAAGGAAAGATAATTATACTTATGGTTAGATAATGTAGTGGGCCGCACAAGCATAACTACCACATAATTTACGTAAGCAGCTTTGTTGAGATCTTTCCAACTATGCAATTGACATGCTAATTAAAATCTGGTTTAGGGTTTGACTTTTTTGGTGATTTTTTTATTTTTTAATTTTTTTGATGGGGTGAAAAAAATTAATACAAGTTGTAATAAATTTTCTTAAATTATGACATGTTTAAAATTTTGACCTCCTGAATTTCAAAATTCAATAGTTAAGAGCATCTCTAACGTTTCATCTTTTGTTTTATCAAATTTAAATTTGATGAAAAACGTACAAAGTTAGTGCTCCAACGTTAACACCAAATCAATATCAAATTGGGGATATCTCAAATTTTTCATCAAATTAAGGATGCTGAAACATTTTACCAAATTACTGTACATAGTCGTTAGCTTTATAAGTGGCTGTGTTAAACAATGTATGCGCACCAGATGATTGCCGGTTGTCCCCTAGTTGACCACCTCCTTGCAAAATTTGTTTCAAAATTTTGAAAAATTTACATTGGTCAACTTGCCAAGCATCCCTCGATCGTCCTCCCAGTCGACCGGTGGTTTAATGAAATCGCATATTACTCCATTGGAACGCGCGATATCAAAAGAAGTTTTTACTTAAATTTGATAATAAAAAAATAAGAGTAAACATTAGAGATGTTATAACCTCTCAAAATATTATCTTATTACAGTTTATCTTTTTTGTTAGGATTCTATAAGGAATTTATAGAAAATCAAATTATGTATAAAATATATGACACATTTATTAAAATTTTAAAACATTAATGTCCTTATCTGGTTATTATCTTTGCATTTTGCTACTAAGATAAGGAAGGCAAAGTGCAAATGAAATGATAAGAGTTGTATTCATGTGTTTGATTTTAATTTTCTGAATTCAATTTTTTGAAAATTGAGTTTTTTATTTTTCGTATTTTTTTGTTATTAGTGAATATTTTAAAATTTTTAAGTAATTTTTTTACTTTTTTAGATGCATCTTACTTAGATGTATCTAAAAAGTAAAATATACTAGGAAAGACAATTATATTTATGGTTTGGGCCGCACAAACATAACTACCATATTATTTTACATAAGCAGCTTTGTTGAGATCTTTCTAACTATGCAATTGACATGCTAATTAAAGTATGGTCTAGGGTTTGACTTTTTTGGTATTTTTTTGGTCCTCAATTATTTTTATGAGGTGAAAAAAAATTATGACATATATACATTTTGACCCCTTGAATTTCTTAAATTATTTATTAAATTTTTAAAGCAATAATGCATTTATTTGGTTATTATGTTTGCACTTTGTCACTAAAATAAGGAAGGGAAAGTTCAAATGAAATCACCAGAAAAGAGTTACATTATTATACTAAAACAATTAATAACAAGTATTATTGTCGTAAAAAATATATCACGAGTTTTAATGAAATGTTTAAAACATTAGCAGGGACCACAGCCCTCTAGCTCCTATTTGTGTCTTTATATATATATATTTTTTTTATAAATACATTTTTTTTATATTGAAATTCATATTCTTTAATGTACATCTTCTCTAAGTGATGAAGTACCAAAGCAAGAATTGTTCTCCATTCGACGACGCTCACTTCATAATTATTGTAGCCTTCATTGTCATTATGCTCCTCTATGTCGTAGCATTAGCAACTGAGATAACTCAATGCACAAGCTATCGCAAAGTTCTTGGACATATGGGTCTCTTCTCCGGAGCTCTTGCCTCAATTTTATTGTTACTAATTCTCGTTCCAATTTTGGGATGGTCTCTTTTAATCTTATGGGGTATTATCTTTGTAAGGGTATTGCATAACTCAATTACTGAATTGGCTTACAAAATGTTGTTTAATGTGTTACAAATGCTCATGAATCATAACTTGAGAGAGCAAAGATATAGGTTGCCTGTGTAATGATAATTGTTATATTACAAATTATATTAATAATTTGTTTCTATAATTTAAATTTTGTGTCATTTTGATCTCCAAATGTTAATTTAGTACCTAATATATAAAAAATATTTTTAATTTGATACTCAATGTTTGCATCTATTAACTGCATTAGTGTGTGAAGACACTTTGACAATTTGTTGTATTCAGTCAATCCGACAAACCGAGTTCAAAATTTTGTTCCATTACCCACTAAAGTAAGACTTACATACCTATATTTTTTTTAAGCTTAAATAAATCGTCTTACAAACACTAAAAATCTTACAAACACTAAAAATTTAAATCGAAATGGCACAATGTATCACAAAGAACAATAAACTATAAATGCAAGAGATAAACGTAAAACCACACAAGTCTAAATCAAAGGACCACAATGATTAGGCACACTCAACCTAATTTTTTCTTAAATTTTTTCTGAACTTTGACCAATGTTTGGAACTTGAATTGTTTCACAAGAAGATAAAAAATGTGGTACATCACATTTTATAGCATAACGGTATGATAAGAATGGATTTCTTTAGATTACATTATCAAAATTTAAGCATTTTAAGAATAATTTTCTATCAACAATTACACATCCAATGAAATGTTACTTTCTTTTTTCAAATTTATGATTTACAACATATTTTTATAAGTTTTATGACTCATTTTTTTATGTTTTGTCATACCAAGAACTACTAAGGTATTACATTTGATTTGTTTTCATTCTAAAACAACTTTTAAGATTTGTATTAAAAATATTTTTGAATCGCTAAATTTATCACAGCCAAAACAGTGCTGCTACTAAAAATGAGTTCTGCCATGGATTCTTCAGCTTGATCCATCAATCAGGTGATCAGATGATGCACTCTGCAAACCAAAGCATTTTCTTTGGGAGAATGGAACGGCCAGCCTGCGATTCAGCACCAACAACCCCAGTATATGCAATTCCATTTCTCATTTGCCGTCCTGGACCAGCCTTGCTTTGTATGATTTAGACTTTTCATGATGTCAATAATACTTTGGTCGTCCCTTGGCAGGGACCAGACACAGTTCATTCTTGTCATTCCATCTCTGTCCCAGAATACAACTTTGAATAAATGAACAAGGACGATAGTTCTTGTCCTGGATGCACCACTAATGCAGGCTCTCACTCAGCACTAGCCTCCGGCTAAACAGACTTGAATCAAAGATAAATCGAAGCACCTTTTCGAAAATGCAACATTTTCAACAATAATCTGTTTCCCAATTCAGATTCTCTTTTGGGAAAAAGAACCAGTGAAAGTATTGGAAGAGTAGAACCATCCGTAATAACTCCTAGTGAATGGATTGGATCCGTTGTTGAAGATCAAGGATCAGAAGTTCTAGAGGAGACTTTTCTGTCTAATTTGGTTTTGAGATGCTTCAATTTGTTGAAGAATTTTAGTCTGTGCAGGGGCATTAGCTGACTGCTGGTTACTATGCATCGGCCTCACTCCTAGGCTTTGCCAATCCTCTGTTCACATTGAGACAGCATGATTGTGTTGACTCGTTTCTCTTTTGATAGAATTGTTGCTCGTTTTAGAACTGCAGAAAGAGTTTGAAAAGTCACTGCAACACATATTCCAGTTACAAGATAATACTACATCCTGAATGGACTAAGAGGTTAAGCTAGGGACAAGAAATAAATCATTAAAAAACAAATAGTCAACTTTTCCAAAGCTGGAATTTGTGAACTGTGAATGCCTAGAATACAACAAAGATGCATTGGAATTACCTAGATAGCTTCTCATAAATGGATTCAGAGTAACATCTGTTCACATTCCGAAAAAAGGTAGACCAACTAGTCTGACATGCCAAATCCAAGGTCGGGCAAGGAAACTTGGTTCCTCACTGACTCAACTCCACAATTTCAACTGAAACCAAGCAACCACAATGATTTGAGTGTTAGCAAAACAAGAAGCATAATAGATGAATGACAACTAAAACACCAAAATGCCTTCCAGGACACTGATGTAATATTATCATTGACCACAAAATTCACAAAATAAAAACACCCACCATCATCTTTAAATCACACAAAGCTTGTATTGCAAAGGTATTTTTCATACCTTATAGTTGCATGCAATCGATATTCAACAAAGCTCGCTCAATTATACTACCAAATTTCAAAGCTTTCAAGAAACCACTCACAGAACAAAAAATGCAAACAGTGCTAGGATTACATCCTTACGTTGTTAAGCTGTTTCAAAGGGGCACGACTTGGGATAACAATTTCCCGATGCTTTCAGCACAGGCTGCAGAGTCCACAGGATTCATCAGATCAGATGATTAACTGCAGCTTTATATCACACATATAGTTCTGTCCACAGACAATAAAATATCATAGCATCGAAAGGAATTCAACTCATGCAACAAAGAATTGAATTGCAACATTAATGATGACAAACTAGGCAATATTTACCATTCTAAATTTGTGAAGTACTTGTGCCGTACACTTGAGTAAAGGTATGGGATACATGTCCAACATGTGTAGTTGGACATTCACCCAGTAAGCATGTCCAACAATTTTATTTTTCCATAAAACCATGCATAAAACTCCCATGTTATTCAATAAATGCTTTATGTGATCTTGTAAACATCATTTTATTGTATAAAATAAAAGAAGAAAAATTACAAAATATAAATATTTGTCATATCCCTTGTCCTTGAACATGAGAATTAGATGAATCCGACACTTGTACACATATCTGTAGACTGTATATGATACTCAAACTTGTGCCCACGTAATATAGATGACACGGGAGTTTTATTTAAATTGTATGAGAGGAAATTTAAGAACAATCAGATACAAAGGTAAAATAATGTGAGAAAAGCAAATTGAAAATGAAAAATATATATCAGCGATTTCTCCTGTCAGTGAGGTGTCATAATGTCTAAGAACTTCTCATGGCTTACAATTCACTAATATTTTTAAATTCCAAGACAAGATTTAAGGAGAGTCCATTACCAACTAAAGCATTTTGTTAGGCAAAAGGGAAGATGAAAAACAATGGAGACTTCCGTAATGTCCAAACAACGTGTGCAATGACTATCATTTTGCCCATGCGGCCCAAAAAAGCAAATAGACTAGTATGGTGTAAAAGTGAGAAGGGTAGGATCCTTGGGAAAGGTCAAGAGGCCAACAGATTACTAGAATGTCTATAAAAAAATATATGTATATTCCAAAAAAAAAAAAAAAGATCATTAGAATGCTTGTAATTTCTTCCCTTGATCACTAGAACTTGTAGTTGATTTACTAGAACTTATAGTTGATTACTAGGGTCCCTTGTATGATTAAGAACACATGATTGATCACCAGCGGGCGAGGGGGAAAGGGAAGAAGGTATGAAATATTATAACCTCTTGGTAAACAAACCAGCTCTTATTTACATGCAAACACAAATCATACATCAATTATCCTCTAAGAAAATGCATTGGTGTTCATAGCATATATTCGCTTCAAATGTGGGATCCTTTTCTTTTTTTTTTCGACAAGTTCAGATCTGGGATCCATTCCACACATGTTGATGCCATTATCCAGCCTTAGTATAATGTATAATGTCGCTCAACACGGAGACATATCATAACCCTCAACCACCCCCCCCCCCCGGCTCTCTCTCTCTCTCTCTCTCTAAATATTATGTGCACACCACTTCTAATACCCACAAAAGGGAACCGAAAAAATTCTTTTTACTTTTCACGAGGAAAATTTACAAAGATGAAAAAATTCTTCTTATTTTTCTTATTGTACTTATGGATAGCTTCTACCTTGTTATGAAAAAAAATATATCATGAAGCATGTTTAATATTTAAAATGGTAGTCTCTTAAATTAAAACAGAGCCTTTCCTTTAAAAATTCAAGACTTAAAGCCTTCAAATTTATTATTTGGACCAAAGGCATAAAATCCAGCCCAAATTTTTTTTTTACTTTCCAAATTAGGAAAGAAAGATCTTTGAGACTTCAGTAAGTAGATAATTTCTATAGCACTCAAACAACAGAAAAATAAATGAAAGGAATATATCTATATGAGCACTGTAAGTACCTTCCGAACATATAGAGATTCTTCAGCTAATTGGAAGCCTTATAAAAGACCGATACTTGGAATAATTTTTGGAAGTAGATTATATACAGGCCTTGTACTTGATTCGCCATTATTGGGAAGACATGTAAGCTCATTCTCTAGAGTGGAGTAAGCATCTGCAAATGCCTGCATCAAACAATGTGATTGAATGTAAGAAACATAGCATCAGAAAAATCATACCTATTAGGAATATTTGTTCATATAACCACAGATTAGGCCTTGTTTGGGGACTACATGTTTTAGTCAAAAAGCAAAAAAGTCACTATAAATTGTCACATCACTCTCTACTTTTCTGCACATCTTTTCGTAAAAAACCAAAAAGTTACTAAAATAGTTTATTCCCAAGTCTGCCAACAAATCAAACAGTAATTACCTCTTAGTAGGTAACTGGAGTACCACACACCTTGCAGAAACTTAGATTAGGTTAGGCAGATATGGATAAAAATCAGAGGTCACACGTCCTTGTGAATTAGGGGATTTTTTACAATGACAATTTCATGAAATCAACAAAAATTTACACAACGCTTCATTCATTTGAGTTTACTAGTCAGCAAATGGATTAGCAGATTTATAAAATCACAAAAGGAAACATGCAAAAGAAGATATGAAACTCGGAAATATGCTAAACTTTTGTCCTCGAAACCTTTGGATTTTGTCCACAGTGAAGCTGATATTTGTTTGAAAAGGTAAATGATTCTATTGAAGTCACCAAAAGGGGCACAACATGTGTAATAATAATAATAATAATACTTGTAGGAAAGACAGTGGGAAAAATGAATCTACGAAATGGCAATATTTCTATAGAAAGTATGGCTGACCTTGATACATTGGTGTATTCGGAAGCAATTCCGGCCCACATTATTAGTTGGAAAAAGTGGATCATCAATGTAGATTGGATCGATGCTACAAGATTCAATAGATGATCATCAAGAGTAGATAGAAAAAATAAATAAATAAGAGAGCACCAATAAAACACAAATCTCAATAAGTAAAGAAACCATTTTCTTCCATTACCTGTATCCTCTTCAAGAGTAGATAGAAAAAATAAATAAATAAGAGAGCACCAAAAATACACATTTGGCGAGGATCAAACACATTCCTGGGTTGAACAGTCATCATGGTTAACAAACAAAGATGATAAAAACTGGAGCACATGCATCAAACAGAAAAATTACAATAAAAAATAGAGCTCGAAGCTAAAATATAAATAAGATTTTTTTTTTAAACCATCTAAGATATACAATTTAGTCTTACCCAAAAAAGTAGAAAAAATCCATCAAAAGGCTTCCGAAGTTCTACAAAAAAAAAATAATAATAATAATAAATGACCAAGAAAATTAATTAATTAAATTGCAGATAAAAGAAAAGCACTAATGTATTAATGACAAGCGTAAATATGAAGCGAAAAAATTTGAGCCTTCTTTATAGCCAAGAAAAAGTGCATTGGAATTTCTCCCAGAGAAAGGAAAAGTATATAAGCATGCATAAACTGAGATAAATTAGACATCGACATGCTATAATTCAATGTGACATGCATCCTGTGCCTATATGATATGATAAGAGCAAGGCCATTGACCGGGCTTAAACAATCACTAGATATAAGTATATGACCATAAATGAATTTTAGGAAGACAAATACTATGGTAGTAGGGACAATGTACACATAAATTAAAAAATAAAAAACAGTAAAGAAATAGGAACATTATTAGATCTTCATGACATGTCAGAGAACAATGATGAAGAATAACAACAACAACAACAACAACAATAACAACAACAATAGAGGTGGCATAGATAAATTAAGAACATGTTTTCTTGGCACCACAGTACTACTACTCATTGCATCAAGTTTGGAACAATCTTTGGAAAGTTGGAAATGATCTTGTAATGCCCTAAGGTCCCCAACAGCCCAACTATATGCTATGTCATAATAATCCAACTTGAGTTTGTGGACATTTTCCCAAATTTGTCCACAAGGAGATGAAAATTGAATTAAGAAGTTCCTATGATACTTCTATTTGGCTCTTAAGACTTGCAAAAAGATTAAAAATTCAAGTCCAAGAGTCTCTTTCATTAAGGAGGTGTCGACGTGGTTGGAGTGTCAGTATGTCCCGGGGGGAAAAAAAAAATAGAAGATACAAATGAAGAATGTGAACCCACGAAGAAACTAGGAGACAAGTAGCACTTGAAAAGAAGAGGAACAAAATAAAAGAACATAGATCGAATAGAGAAAAAACTTAAACTATATTCACCCCACCTCAATAGCAGAAGCAGAAAACCCACAATTACCATGGAATCATTCAGCATACTTTAATAAACGAAAAAGGAATAGAAAAGTAGTAATGAAAGAAAGAAAAGAAAAGCTTCAGTATGTCCAATTTTTTAAGCAAACAACCTAAACAGCAATAAGGGATAACAAAATGTGAGCAATATTCATCTTAGTTATGGGATCAGAAAATTGCTCCTAATATTGCGTACTGAACAACCTAAGTTATATTGGGAAGTTGGGTTGGGTTATTTTTTTTGGCTAAAATAGTCAATAAAAACAAAAGAGGTTAAAATAACCAATAAAACAAAATGTCACATCCAAACCATAATTATTTCACTTTTTCTCTCACAACCATCAAATCAACTATCAAAAAAAAAAAAGCCAACTATCATCTCAAACACAACTTTTTAGCCAGGCTAAAATAGCCAAAAAGCCAACTAAAATAGCCAAGTTCCCAAACCAGCCCATAGACTTTACAATTTGACAAATTCTTTTTTTTTTTTTTTTGGTAAACTAAAATAGAACTAAATGACCGTAAACGAGAGGCCAAAACCAAGAAACTAGAGACTGACCACTCAAGGGAAACTCCCTCCTTGCTTGTCATTTTCTAGAGCCAAAGCCATAAAACTACAGACTCTTACGAATTCTGCGAAGTGCTTATATAGGCTTTATACAACATGGGCAAAAGTATTACCACAGAACATCACAAACTATACATGGACCAGTATGGGTGTTGGGCACCAGTGTGCGTCTAAATGCTAGATGCACTATTTCCCAAATCCAAGGATGCCAAGACACCTACTTCTCAAAAAGGAAAAAACATAAAATAAAAAGATGCAAAGGCACAGCTATACATTCAAATTTCTTGATACCATTCCTTTTTTTCTCAAGGCAAAATGGTGCTTTGTTAGCATAGAGCATAACGCAGCAGATTTCACTAATTTTGAAGCAATGATGACACAAATTATAATAAATTAAAATAACTAGACATGCTTGCAAGAGCATGGTCCACTTGATGAAGACTTTGAATTGGTGTAGAATCCTTGTCAAATATAATACAACAAGGAATGGATATAAATATCGAAATTAAAAAATTTAAAACAAAAAACACCCTGAATGGTAAATTGGTAACCCACTCTAATATGAAAATACTTAGAAAGAAATAGTGACCCAATGAACAAGGTTCCCACTAAAGCAAGATCTGGGTAGGGCACAATGTACACAACCTTGCCCCATTTCTGGTGAGGCTGTTTTTGTGACTCGCACCCGTGCCACCAAGGACGCTAGTGCCATACTTAAAGATAAAGATGGGGGGAAGCTAATTATCCCACAAAATCGAAGTTCAAAATCTTACTTGATTAACAGGCCGTCCATGGTGATGCTCATGCTGAAGAAAACGTGTGATAAGTAACACCTGTAAAAGGAGATAGAGAAGTAAGATTGGGTTAGTAGTTGTCCACTACCAAGTTTACAAAAGGGTCAAAAAAGTTATATGATAATATTCAAGATAGTATACAAAAGAAAAAGCTTTGAAAGTAGGGTGCATCTATTTACCAGTATCAAACTCTTGGACAACGGACATAATCATAAATATCAGATTTTTTTTCTGAAAAATTAAACATCACAACACCTGAATAAACTATACATCACAACTCACCAGACAATATGAACTTAAGCCACCTGAATAAGATTGGTCCAGGCTACGATCTGCCAAGAACTGTTTTAGTACCAAAGCAAGGGGTGTAGCAGCGGCGAATCGTTCAGTCAACTCTTTAACCTGCATATAAAATTTAAAGCACAAAGAAAAATTAATGAAATAAAAACAAATCAAATCAAATCGTTATTAAGAATACTTCTTCAGAAAGTAGGAAGAATTAACTCTCGAGATAATAATAGATATTAGGCAGGGAAAATTCTATGTAACATGAAAGGGAACCATGCACTGGTGAAGAATACACAAAGCTTCCAAAGCTTAAATATAAATTTCAGAGAATATAAAGATTCAATAAAAGAAATTCCATCCCATATGCCTTCCAAATATGAAAACTGAAATTAGAACATTCTCAACCATTCTTATATTCGTATCCTTCCAAAATTATTTCATTATAATTTTTGCAAACAGTGGCAGTAACCAGGTCAAAACACTGCAAAACCTAATTTATATAGCCTTCGTTATGCATGAGAAGAATGTCAGGTAACAAGAATTGACTTTGCAACATAGAAAGAGCGAAAAGTTTTAATCGAACCAGTTCAGTAGTTTGGAGTCCTGTGTGTGATGGCGACAAGAAACTGATGTCAAGACGAATTGATTTCATATCCTTGTCATCATCAGTATTCATATTTGAACACTTTGGTGAAGCAGAGCTTTCCAAATTAGCCATATTGGTCTGAAAAGGATTGTGTCCACTAATCACCTCAGTCGGTTCTTCTTTCAGTGTAGATATGGTGGAAACAGCAGGGGTAATCAGATCATGAGGAACTTCAACAAGAAGCATGATGATGGGAACCTACAAGCAGAAAGGCAGCAAGATGAGATGACACATCAGCAGAAAAGATGTCTGAAGATAAAATATAACGAAAATAAACAGAAAGAAAGAGGCATTACTGCAGTATTTTCTACAATCTTGAGAGAATCACTTTTAACCCACTCCTGGTTAGCAAGATACCTAGCTGCATGCTGGAAGGAAAATTTGGCAAAGCGTCAAGCCTAGAACAAGCTACAGCAATATCAAAGATGATAAAATTGTCATATTGCACTGCTCAAATAAATATGAGAAGACGGCATTCAATACCCAATTTTTACATAGAAGTTTCAAGAGAATGAAGAAGAGCTGTGCAATCACAAGGAGGCTAGTGAAAGCATAAAGATGAAATCCGTGACGAGCATTCAAGTGCAGCACAAGTCAACATTCACACTGGAAATAAAAAGCCAAATGATGCAAAACCCCACTATTTTAATTTTAAAGCCTGCAACTAGGAAGTGATGGTTTGACAGATCATATGTAAGATTATGGTTCATGAGTCAATGAAATTTAATAGATTGATTTTTGGTTTCGTAACTAAAGGAGATTGAACAGTGCTGGAGCAGAAAAATATTAAGCAAAAAAGAAAAAATAGGGAGGAAAAAAAAGAGGAGGACATGACTTGGGATTTCTCCCAGCCGGCGTACACCCAATCCTTCCACCTGGATGCATCAAATAATTTCCAAAGTAGAATATCTTCAGAACACCAATCATCGAACACCCTAACTCCACTTAAACCAAGAAAAAAAACAAAAACAAAACCAAAACAAAAAAACAACAGGCAAAAACAGAGCACTCTTGAATAAGAAAAAAATAGGGCTTCAACTGACTTAAGCTAGGCCATCTCAAACAACCCTTTCACACCTGTTTCTCTTAGCCCTATTAAGGTGAGATGAGAATATGCTTCTTTGGAAAATTGATGTAAATATTTACTTTCAAAATCATGCAAGAATAACTACAGAACTTTCCTTGCTGCAGCAACACAGACAGTTTTTAGTAATTTGATTAACATTTACACACTGAGACAAACAAACACAAATTACCTGGAGGCAAGTTTCTTTAATACCATTGCGTCCCTCCAAAATCCCAGCTTCTTTAATAGGTTCCTAGAAAATGACAGCACGTCAGTATTTTTTCATTACAAATATAGACGTAACCAGGGTAGTTACTGCAGATAGTTCTCACCAAATTCCTCACTGGAGGGAGACAAACCACAAGATCCACATCACTTGTTGGAAGGGACAACCCAGTTGCATTTGAACCAAATATGTTTGTCCTAGAACGGGGCCATAAGACTTGGAGAGAACGTGTGACCCGCTTGATAGCCCAATTTATGTAAGGTTTCCTTGTTAAATTCTCTGCAGCAACCTTGGATATCATCATAGATATGAACCATCAATTATCAATTATGTTCACATGTAGCCAGGAAAGGGACAAGTTCAAATCAATGAAATTTTAATTGGTAAGTTTGGCAGCAGCAGACATTGGGAATAATGAAACATATTAAAAGCAAGAAACAAAAAAGAGTTAATCTACCCTTATACCTGCTTGCAAAAGGCATCAATTTCATCATGAAGGAGGCTCTGCATCGAAGATAGAGATGCCTTGGGTGTCGGACAGTTCAATGACTCTGGTGGCTGAAGAGGAAATGCAACATCTGGCTGTGATAAAACAATTTTAAGTCAGTAAACTAGAGGAAAAAAGTCATCTGGGAGTTTAAATAAGGTGGAGACAGAATCAATAAAACAACACACTTACATGTTCCTGATCACGAGTAAGCTGGGAGATTGCAATTAGGCGATCCTGCAGCAGAGCCCCTGGTAGCGGTTGAATCATTGTGTGGGATGATAGCCTTTTATCTCTCCAAGAGGGCCAAATTACTTCACTGCCATCCATGCGTACACAAGCTTCCTCAAAGCTAATGCCATCATGGAACAAACCTCTAACACCCCAGTGCTTTGGACTGGAGCTACCAGATCGAACAGTTGGAAAACCCCTGTGTTTTCTGGAATCGCCTACAGGAGAGGGTGGAGGTGGCCGAGGAGCACGTGGAACACAAAGCACTACTGGTGAAGGTGGCCTCTTGATCCGAGGTTGATCCCGCCGGTTGGGAGGGACACATGGGCTTTTAAGATCATGACGCTTAAACTCAGACCTTGATCTATCCCGTGTTATACTTGGAATGATAATGGGACGCAAAATGGGGTAAGGAAGTGAATCTCCTGTCTTCGCTTCACCATCACCAGGCAAATTGGACAAAGATCCAGAGACATTATCCTCGGACACTACATCTGTCATTGTTGAGGAGTGCAGCAACTTGCCAGTTACCTCACTTCCTGGTATAACATAGCCAACAGCCTGGTGTCCTGGTACCAAAGGATCAAAAGGAGAACAAAAAGAAGCAGCAGAAGGTGAAGTCAATCCATTCGTACTATAAGATGAAGAGAAGGCAAGCATATCATCGACAGCCCTATTCATGTCTGCTTCTGGCCAAGCCCATGAACTATCATCAGAACTAAGAGAGGGAGGACGAGAGAAACTGGTCCCTGGGTGATCGGAAGGATTCCAGTACATCACACCACCACCAAAATACTGACTATAGTCCATTCCAGAAACTGCATGCACCTCCAACTCTTCTTCAGATATCCAATGGTTATCTTGTTCATCTGTTAGTTCATGAGAATTCATCATATCAGACAAGTCCACATAATCCCCAGAATATATTATCCTTTCATCATCAGTGGTTGTGGCGCCATGTTGCACGCTTTGAGCAGCAAAACCCTGATGAAAAGAAGAGTGCCGCCTTGGGATGAACCCAGAGTCATAACTGCATGTCACTGATGGAGACAATCCACAGCCATTACGTACCATTGGTGGCCAGTCTAGACTCATCGGCAGTGGTTGAGACAGAATTCGACTGCACCCATTTTCAGTTGGAGGGTTTCTCACCTGATGCACTGTTGGTACAAAGGGTTGGTGGAAATGATTTTTCCAGTTGTGGCCAACATCCAGATGCAATCTATCAGTTGCAGCTGGGAGATGTGAATTAACAGATGGAAAGTGCACAGGAGCTACACTGGGCCACTCATGTGAAGGAGAATGCATGGGCTCGGTGTTGTAAATGCTTCCACTATTTTGCTCTTGAATTGGGGTAATTTCCTCTTGTGGTTCAACACCTTTGGTTCTTGCTTCAGAAAAGACTGATTTAGAGTCTGTTCCTCTTAAATGTTCACAGTTTCTACAGTTAGTATCTTCATTGTGGATAACATCATCAAGTCCAACCACGGGCATAACAGGAGGTATTATGTTGGAGTCCGCAATATTACTTACAGTTTCTGACTTGGAAGAAATGGAGTGATTTTCTTTCACTCTGTCCGAGTATTGGTAATGCCTCAAACCAGGAAGACTGCTCTCTTCTGTACAACCAACAACATAATCTTCATTTCTTTCAGTCAGCTTGTCCTCCATAGTAGGCCCACCAGTACAAGGGCTTGAATTTGGCACAAGTTTGTCATTACCAGTTGAAACATGATTTGGAACTCTCTGAATAACTGATTTTTCAGATACCCAATTAGACTTTGCAGCCTCAACTTCAGAAATAACAGAGGGAGACGTGGCTCTGGTTTGAGAATTTCCAGCTTCAACTGGATCATTCAAGCCAGACTTCTTAACTTCATTGTTCTGTTTCCTAGTCTTCCTGACAGCACTTTGGACATTTCCATTAACCAATCGTCCACGTTTCCTGATTACAGTCAGTGAGTTGTATGAGTCATTACTACTAGTAAATATGATCCAAATGGAAAAGACAAGTACAACCATGTCAACTGAAGAAGTAATATCTTTATCTAGATCCTTCTTCTGAAGTGCACCAGCAATCCCATTCGACTTGATAATATCAACATTCTTGGTATGATCCATTTTACATTCATGGTCCTGGAACATCCTTACCAACTATTAAAACCAAATCTTCTCAAGAACTTTATCTACATACAATAAAACTTCTAAAAACAACAGGAAAAAAAAAATTGTTACCTTGGTGGCTTTATCAATTCTGACATCATCTCCAGAGGATCTTGGAACAGGATTTAACCTTTTCATATTGTGTGTCCTACCCTTTTTCCTTCGGGTAGCTGCACCAAGTTTCTCTTTGGATTTCTTTGTGGGAATTTTTGAATTTCCTTCTTCTAGTAGCTCAAGTTTGGTACAATCAAGTGAAACAACCATGAGAAGACCCCGCAATTTCCTAAATATACAATCCGAAATGGAACTGACAGAAGCTAATGTGCTAAAAAGTACTTTCTCTTTATCGAATTCGCTGTGCTGACATGCTAATAAAATAGTGACAATTTCCTGAAGAACAAACAAACCATAGAACATATAGGCTACAGAAGAAGGCTTTCCAGAAACTGAAACAGGCCTCGCAGCCAGGCTAAATTCTGCATCTGTTCCTGGGAGTGTCGGGATAGTCCTTTGTGACGACATGGTATAGTTGAATCTCAATGACCGTTCCGCTCCTGAACTGAAGAGCCATGTTTGATCCTCCAAGGTGCAATTTGTCATCTTCAAGATTTCAGCCGTCTGAAATTCACGAGCATCAGGATAAGGCCATAACATTTACTAAGGGTTCAGACAGCTAATATTCTTAAAGCTTCACACAATTGCCATTCAATGATAAAAATGATTTGGACACAAAAAATATATAAGTTAAGGATATAAACCTTCGCAAAGGAAAGCAAAATGTCAAACACAAAAAGGGTACTGTGGCAACCCTTTCAAAAAATTTCTTCAATTCAAAGCTACATATACCATATATCATTAAAAACAAAGGCATTCACAAAAAGAAATTGTTGATTGTGTCCCACTTACTGAGTTCCGATGCAGCTCCAGTCCAAGTACTTTACAAAAATACCATGCAAGACCCTCTTACTAACAACACTTTAGCAGTTGCAATTTGTAGCTTCTAATTACATACACTTTTCTCCATCTCCTTATTTAGTTGAGGCAATAACACTGAGAACAAAAGATAGATATACTAGCTTATGGAATACCTAGAATAAGAAGCGAAGGAGGACATAGGAAGGCTCTAGTAATAGAATGACCACTTTAAAATACAATTGTATAATGGGTAACAAGCAGTAGCAGAATCTATATATATACATGAATGCTTATTCAGCAGAAACACCTCTTCGAGCAAATACATCAGCAGTTTTTACATTTCTGAAAACAAGGAACCCTTGCCTTTTTAAACACAAGTAGGGTAAGACCACCTTTAGATGGAAGGCACAATTTCAAAACAATTGAGGAATGTTTTACCCTGATAGCCACTAAACACATAAAAGCCTAATTGAGACATTAGCACGCGTAAATCCATACGTTTTTATTTAATCCCTGACCTCAATTTCATCCACACACAAAAAACAGATCAGAACACATGGATGCTTGCCAACATGAGTCTTGCATCAACTACTGATTGTTTCCATGTGTTGGAAATGGACACAGTATGCTAAAAGGTGTGTTCATGCTCCATAGCTCAACACAATCAGCCTAGTTTCCCAAATAAACTTGCCAATGATTTTTCTCCTCTACTAGGCCCAGATTCAAGGGTTCAATGCACAAAGCAGTAATTTACTGCTCAAAAAGTAAACAACCTCTCTCCTGCTAATGTAAGAACCACCAAATACTTATAAATTGAATTTTCAGCATGACAACGATTGTAGATAAGATGTATGAAAGTTGTCTACGACCATGGGAAATGTAGGTCCATCTACACCTTCATAGGGAAGAGTGATTTAATTTATGTTGAAAACACCTAAAGTATACGAGGATGTCCAGGAAGCAAGTTGAGGTTGTAAGGAAGGTATAATTACAGTGGATTTAACCTATGACCATGCTGTAGATAGAACTCATTATAGAAGACAAAGTCCTATAGCTACTGATCTTCGAAGTAAAGATTCAATAACACCCTCCACTGCCGGAGTACAGGAAGAGCTGATCCCTCCATAGGGAAGAGTGATTTAATTTATGTTGATAACACCTATAGGATACAAGGATGTCCAGGAAGCAAGTTGAGGTTGTAAGGAAGGTATAATTACAGTGGATTTAACCTATGACAATGCTCTAGATAGAACTCATTATAGAAAACAAAGTCCTATAGCCACTGATCTTCGAAGTAAAGATTTAATAACACCCTCCACTGCCAGAGTACAGGGAGAGCTGATCCCTCCATAGGGTCCTTTTTGGACCCTACAGAATTCCTGTGTACAATTTTTTATTTTTTTTATTTGGTTGCTAGAATACGTAATGTGGCAAATAAATTAGTTGCACCATGATGCGGAACGTAGAGTTCAAGATGCATGCACGCAACAAGTTTGACATGGAGATTTTTATTACAATTTTATAATTTTATGTCTTTAATATTTATATTTATTTTCTTTATAATTACAGTTTAATTAAGAGTCATATTAATAACTGATTTCCTCTTTTGTGATCTTAGTTTCCTTTTCCTATTAGGTTATTAACTTATATATAAGGATGTTGGGCATGACCTTATGTGGACATTGTGTTCTTCCTCTCTCCCCTTTCTCCATCTCCATTCTGCATCACACCCCCTTTGGCTTAATGAAATATCTCTACTCTTTAAAAAGGAAGATATGTCTTGTTTTTCCCACTAATACTATCTCTTTCAGCAATTCATCTATTTCATAATTTTTTTAAGGAGTCAATAATTTCTATAAGTAATCCTCCCTAATACTAGTACCAATATAAGTATGCATTGATCCATCCCTGCCTAGTATCCAGCAAAACTAATAATTAACATGTCCACAGGCATAAATGTTTTAAACTATAGTCACATGGCAAGACATTTGAACAAACAACAGTGAGAAAATGCCGCAAAAAAGTAGCACAATCCATTCAATAACAATATTTGCTGCAAAAAACAAACAAACAAAAAAAGATGTTCTTTGTCCATCTTTTCTTTTCAAGATGCTGCATAATGTTTTCCCACCTCGAAAAGTCAGTGTACAAGATTCTATATATTTACCCTTCCTTTATCAAAATTAAATGGATATTCAACACCTAGTCTAACGTAAAATTAATATTTTTTTTAGTTGAACGTGAGTGCACTTACGGTTATGTCCTCAAAAAGTTAAATTTCTAAGATGGACCAATATTTAGCACGAAAGGGAGATATAGATGAATGTCCATGTGCACGTGAACACCTAGCGAGCTTAGTAGCACATACAATGACACAAGACATGAACGTGGCACAATACAAAAATACAATAACCTCCAAAAATCCATGCAAAATAGGACAAGCAATATATATAATTTTAGTAATTAAGATCAGGGCAATATGTATAATAATACTCCAAGAATGATGACCAGTATAATAATACTCCAAGAATGATAACATCGACTTTCACGGTAGGATTTATTAATAGCCATTTAGCTGTGAGAGTTAATAAGCTCAAACCATGAAATGCTTAAAAAGCAAATAAATAGCCATTTGTCTATAGGATTTGTTAATTATTAGTCTTTCAAGAATTCGTTGAGTCCCCTTCCAAACTCATAAAATCCTCTATGCTCGAAATTATTATTTAGAAAACCTAATAATTTCATCTATTTTCTAAAAGTTTCTTATGTCCAAACTATCGAGTGTTTTTCATTATGAAGCACCAACACTTCAAAATAGGTGTCACAACCGTGTTTGAACATGTATAGGACACGCCACATGGTGTATCCATTTTTTTAGTAATTTTTTCCCATGGGACAGAGCGGGTTTTTATTTTAATTTTTCAAAGCTAATTTTAGGGGTCATATTATAATATTTGGAAAGATAAGGGTTGAATATCAACCATCGACAAAGCAACACATGTCTAACCACAATTGTGGAGTTGAAATAATGACTTCTAACAATCCTTGGAGCCTAACACAACACAGATCTAACCTCTAGCTTATTTTAATTTAGTTTTTTATGTCAAATTAGTGTTAATTTTCATTAATTTTGGTTGTTTATAGATATAATATTTATATACATAGCAAATAAAAAAAAGATAAAAACATTTTTTTTTTTTTTGGCCTTATTCCGATGGCATCTATGTCCTCATTTTTTAACTCACCATTTCATGTCCATGTCTATATCTATGCCTGTGTCCGTGCTTCCTAGATTTTTCCAGGGCCGGCTCAAGCCTATGGCAATTGAAGCAATGGCTATAGGCCTCAATTGCAAAAAAGCCCCAAAATTTTCATATATTACCATAAGTCAAATACAATTCAATTGTTTCTCATAAAACTCTGTTGAAGGCCTCCACAAAACCAACACAAGAAAAAAGAAAAGAGATAAGCTCCCATGAGCTTAATACAAGTTCTAAAATTTTGGTAAAAAGGTCCATCGATTTTGTATATGTTTGTCATATGCACACTTTTTTCCTTTTCTTTTTTTTTTTAATAAATAAAGGTTCACATTGAAAATGGCTCCATAAATTTTAAAAAGCTTACAACATATAATTTTAAGAAAACCCACTTTAAAGAGACCCCCACCAATTTAAAATAGGTTCTTCTACAAACTATTCTTAGTTTTTGCTTTGAATTTGTAAGTTTTATTTATTTGATAACTTTTGGCACTTTCAATTTTTTTTTTTTTTTCATAGCTAAATATTTTAAATAACTTCCAAATTTTAGTCATAAGAATGAAAGAGACATGATATATAATTTACTAAAAATAACAAATACTATTTACATTTAAGTTTAAAATATAGAAAGCCTCACAATAAAATTTTGCTTTAGGCCTCGTGAAGGCTTAAGCTGGCCCTGGGTGGCCCTGGGTTTTTCAAGTCTAAAAATTTCTTTGGAAAGGTTTTCTTTCTAATTATTTTCTTGGAAATATAGAAGATCCTATTTAGTATTATATTGATTAGTCTTTATTGTAGAACAGTTTCACCTACTTTGAACGCCCTATAAATAAAGCCTTCTCTACCAAACTAAGATTAAAGTGAATTAATTGACAAATATCAATCAACTAATGGAAATTGATATCAAAGAAATTAACCAATAAACATTAGTGATCCTTTGTCCTTCCCTACAATTTTCTTCTCTTTCTATTTCTCCCTTGTTGCATGGATATTCTAAGATGCTTCTTTCCTAAAAACCAACCTCTAGTCATCAGACCTCATCTATCGCAAAAATTCCATATAGAAACCATACACATTTATTTATCATTACAAATTCCGAAACCAGAGCAATTATAGGCCTTAACCCACCATGTATCATAAAAGCAAAAAGATACTGTTGTCCTACAATAAAAAGTGAATTTTCTGATGTACACCAACAATCATTAACATAAACTATTGGTCAAAACATATGAGCACAGCTAGCAACAAAAACAAAAAAGGAAAATTGTGTTCCAATATTCTTCAAAGTATGTTGCTGCTTTTATGGGCACAAATGGGGTGTTATAAAATATATCATCAAATGCGCACAAACTCTATACATGCAAAGTATACAAGAGAAACCCCTATACACCTCTATATCTACATGGACATAACTCCCAAAAAAATCCACAAAAGAAAGGAAAGAAACAAGGAATGACTCCCTAAGCCCAAAACACAACAACAAACATCACCTTCAAGCTATGAATCCAAAGCTCCACCCGCTTCAAAGATCTATTTTTTTTCCCTCCATATATACCGCATCCCACACAAAGGAGTACCATCCCAAGACTTTCTTTTATTGTGTTCCATAATTATTTCCCAAACAAAGAAAAATTTAAATTAGATGACATATGGTAGATGGTACACAACAATTTGGAAAAGCATTCTAAACCAAGTGCCACATATCCCCAATATACTCGCAAAAGATCCCTTTGTGATATTCTATTCATTTTAACCTAAATAACAGCCTACAAAAAAGTTTACAAGCAAATATGAGATATCATTCCTTTCATTCAGCCTCCAATTCATTCAGGTATAAATCAATCTCAAGAAGATGACTCAAACTAGGATAGGGGACTAGAAAAGACCAACATAGGACACCAACATTGTTTCCAAGACATTAAGGCCAAGTTTGGCAACCCAAAATAAGTACACACTTTTTATCTTTTTTTCATCACATCATCTCTCTACTTTTCTGCACATCTTTTCGTAAAAAGACAAAAAGTACACTTATTTAAGATGGACGTGAACCCATCTCTTATTAGTACATTATTGAACTGTTTGGAAGTTTAAAGAGGCTCTTCCTAATACCCACACACTAATCTCCTTTTTTACAGTGCCAATTTTGGCCCCATTTGGGGATTGGTTCTAGGGGAGTGGTTCTGCTCAACGGGGCATTTGGTTAGGGTGTTTCTGCTTAAAAATTAAACACAGTTCTAGCTTTTTTGAGATCACAAGGTTCTTCTTAGCTTATTGGCTATGCCACTCATACTCACCTTAAATTAACTCACAAACTTGGCTTCAGCATAGTGTAACACGTCTTTACCAAACAAATTCCCAACTTTTTTTTTTTTATAGCCTTTATTCTTTTAGCACCTCCAAATTTGCACCTTCAAATAAGTTTGGCAACCCCAAACAAGACCTTTATGTTGCTTTACTTCTACTTAAGAAGAAAGAGGTCAACCTCCCTCTGAGAAAGAATTTTTTACCAAACACAAACTCCACCGATCAGCTTACACCCAAACAGGCCCTTGAGGACCTTTTTCATGGAGAATTACAAATTTCAACTTTTTGCACTCTCTGCTCACATAACACATTACTGTAGCGTTCAAATTGCTTATATAGTATGTGAAACTCATTTAACAGCACATTGCGTATATAGTTTGGAAATGTTGAATTAAACAAAGAACACCAATTTGTTACAAGAACAAGTACCCAAAAAAGTACCAGAGATTTAGCTGATTTTCCCAAGACTACCCGAAAAACGTTCCTCCTAGTTGCAGCTTCCAACTTCCCCCACCAGTCCATGCACCCCTTCTTCCTCCAATACACATTGGCTGCCACGCCCGCAGCACTCACCTTCTCTTTCAATTTCACCCCTCTCTTCTTCCCATTATTATAATTCAACCATGACAACCTCAAGGCCACTTCCAACCTGTTCGCCACGAATGCCTCGATACTGTAATACCCCTTCCCCTTCAACCACTCCAATTCAACCCATTCCGAGCCCAACTCACCTTCCTCCTCCCTCAAAAAACCCCCACTTGACACTCCATCCATTGCCGCAACAAACCTATCCACACTTTCCACAAACTCCTCACACACCGTGACCGAATCAAGACAATTCACCGAGCACGAACACTCCTCAACTCTCTCTCCTTCTTTCGAATTAAACAACCGAATGGACCCATAAATTAACCGTTCCAACTCGTCTGACTCGCTTACCCTAGCTAACAACCCATGAGACCTACGATAACAGAGACTAGGAAGCCCCAACCCATCACTCGAGGGTATATCCGAAAGGACGATGAAGAAACCATGACCGTTCGATCGGAGCTTCCCCTGCATTTGGAGGAGGACTTGGGCGAATTTGTGATCGACAATGGTGAGGTGGGCTTGGCGTTGATGGACAGAGAGAGAAGAGAACCATTTGAGAATTGACGATCTAGGGTTAGAATTAGGGTTTGAGGATGAAGATGAAGAAGAGTGGTAGAGAGAGATGTGTGAGGTGAGAGAGTCGATGAGCTGCTTTGAATCCATTGATTAGGATGATGATGATGGGCTGGTTAGAGCATTGCGGGGTTTGAAATTAGAGTTTTTTTTAGGGAGTTACAGAGACATTGATGGGCATTGCAAAGGGGGAATTTTGCGGAATGATCGCCGTTGGGTTGGGGACGGCGTAAGAGAGAGAAAAGGTGTCGCGTGGGAAAAAATATTCGTTGGACTTGAGCGTCACGGAGTGATATTTCAAACCAATCATAATTTATCATATATTTTGTATTGTTTAATTATTTAGAAATTGTTTGGAATATTTTAAATAATTATATTTTTTTATTTTTTATGAAATATGAGTTAGTTTAGAGTGATGTGATTTCAATAAAATAATACGACTTAAATAGGATAATAATTTTTTAATTTTTTAAAAAATGTCAAATCTAACTTTAATATAAATTTATAAATTTTATTTCTTTTATTAATAAAAATATTTTTATTTTTATCAATCACAACATTATCAAACTGCCCATATCGCTTTCTTTTTAGTAAAGTGATTTAGATCGTTAGATTCTCATAAAATGGATCTTGACTATTGCACCAAGAGAGGGTAGTAAAGACACCAGAAAAGGAGAGGATCCTTACTTGGTGTGCTGTGTGGTGTGGTGTGGTGTTTGTATTTTGTGAATGATGACTGTGTGCGTGAAACGTAATCAAGATTAAAAGAATAAAACGAAAATTGTTGTGCAAACGACAAATGATTAGGTGATCTTTATGGGATCAGAGATTCTCTCCAGTCTCAAATGCAAACAAAAACAAAAACAATTTGAATTAAATGCAAACAACAAATTACAAAAAGGAAGATGCTAGAGAGCTCTAAATCTAGAGCTCTAATTTGAGTTCTAGTGATGTGTCTAAGAAATAAAAAAAAAAAGGTAAGGTACAAACATCACATCAGAGTAGGTCCCACATTCCTATTAGAGCTATTAGAGCTCCTATATTAGAGCTCTAAAGCATTTTTGTTACAAAAAAGAGGGAAATAACCCATGAGTTGTCTTATAATAAAAAATTAAAAAAAAATTAGTGATAAATCTAATCTATCACTGTATTTAATTGAGAGATTTAGGAAAAGATTTTAAAATAAATAAATAAATAAAATAGGTAAAATATAAATAAAATATACTTATATTTCACTTAGGCCAAGTTTGGCTACCCAAAATAAGTACACACTTTTTATCTTTTTATCTTTTTTTCATCATATCAACTCTCTACTTTTCTGCACATCTTTTCGTAAAAAGACAAAAAGTACACTTATTTAGGTCATCTCAAACAACCCCTTAATTTTTCATATCTTTTATCTTTCTTTTTCCAAATCCCTAAGTCAAACCCAACAGTATAAGGTATTAGTCCAATAGATATTTTTTATTAGTGAAAAATCTACCCTTTGTAAAATAGTTTGATGAGAAATCCTTTTTATTTATTTTGAAAGACATTTTATTTTTAATTTTATCTCTTTAATTAATCTGTTGGCTTTTTTTATCCGTAGAATTTTTTTTGACTATTTGTTAAAATTTATGTCCTTCTATTCAACTTATTTTCTATATGTTCAATATTATTATCTTTTCAATTCAAATTTTATTCCTATCTGTCAAACAACTCTATCTGATGTCAAAATCTTTTCTATCTATTGAAGATTTGTATATGCCTGTTGCAATTGCTAGAGAGATGAGAGAATTATCTGTTGCAATACCAAGCCAAACTGTCACGACCCAAACCCGCCCCTATGGGTTTAGCCTCGTAACCGGCCAGTAATCCGTGATTACCAAAGGCCTGCTTAACAGTAATGACAATAATACAAAGTAGAGGGGCTGGCGGAAGCCGAAACAGTAAATAAAAGATGTCCAATGCGCTGTGAAAACCTGAATGCAAAAAGACTTTTATGAACAAAGCCACATTCATAACCAAAACATATATCCATACGTCATATACACATGACATCTGGGTTAGAGACCAAATCCCTAAAACATAACTGTACAGTCAAGTCTTATTCATCTATTACAAAATAGAAACAAAAAGGGTGAATCTGAAACACCCCAAAACAGCAGTGGCTTGAATGGACTAGGAACCTCGAAGTGAGGCACAAAGGTTGGCTTGACAAAACAAGAGCTTAACTCGACACTTCTAGCTCCGGTCCAGTGCCTGGATACCTACATAAAAATATAAACAGTGAGCTAAAACCCAGTGAATAACATATGCGTAAAGGGTTTAAGAATGAATGTCCTTTCATTAATTAAAACAGTCATTTGCATCAGTAAATCAGTCATTCAATCAGTAACTCATATTTCATGCCATATCAGTCATCTAGAAAACATAGTAGTCATATGTGGTACATCCAATAGCAAAATAGTACAGTGGGTCTTAATAGACCGAACAGTCAGTTGATGGCCATCATAATAGTAAACAGTAGTAGTTCCAAATATTGGAATTGATAGAGATCTCTGTAGCAGTAGCAGTAACAGTACAGTAATAGTAAGTTGCCATGGATGCCACGAATACAGTTTACAAATAGGACAAACATTCATTCAGTAAGTAATGTCATTTCAGAAAGTAGTACAGTCAATCGTTCAGAAATAATTATAATTGAACGTATCTTTACAATATTGTTACTCATAGAGTACTAGGCTATAAACAGGCTAGTCAGCGTCCTCAGGTGCCAACCCTACACAGTTGCAGAACGAACACACACACTAAGTTACACACTTGAGATTAATAGCTTAACCCTTAAACTTGACTCGGTGTGATTCTATAACATTATCCTCATTAGATGCCTTAAACTTGGCCTAGGAATGCCTAGGATGGGATGAGGATGCAAAAATTACACTTTAAAACACTTTTCAAAATTTGCTAAAAATAAGGGTCTCGCTCGAGCGTGGCTTCCTACGCTCGAGCGGACATGCAGACAAAGAAGCTCCGCTCGAGCGTGACTTCTCCCACTCGAGCGGACTGCAAACACAAGAAAAAGTACTGGTTGCACGTTTTTCACGCTCGATGGACGCTCGACCCACGCTCGAGCGTAAGACTCTGACCCTCGCTCGAGCGTGAAGTCCCTCGCTCGAGCGGACTGCAAAACACAAGAACTTCTGGGCATATATGCATTTCACGCTTGAGCGTAACTATCGACGCTCGAGCGGAAGTGCATGTACTCAGAGGTTACGCTCGAGCATGGAGTTCCCCGCTCGAGCGTAGATCAAAAATCTGGAATTCCCAGATTGATCCCCAAGCACAAAACTCAAGCATTAAAGCTTCAAACTCGATTTTTCTAGGCTAATTTTCTGGAAAACACATAGAAACCCATAATACAACATGTTTCAAAGATCATTTTATAAAATCAAGCCCAAAGGTGTGGTAATTGAACACAATTTTGGATGAAACTTAAAGAATAATGCAAGAACATAACATGCATGAGTTCCTATGAACTATAATGCTCTAAAACATAATCAAATGCAAGCTTGAGCTCAAAGTCATGGTGAATTCATGGATTGTAACCAAAACATGGACATGCATGTAAGAATTTTCATGAAAACAACCTCAAAACTTCAACATAAGGGCATGCGTGCATGAATGGACTCTTAATTTAACACATTAAGCTAATTCTTGACTCTAAACTTCAATTTTCCATGAACCATGCAAGAACAACTCAAATTCATAATTAAGAAGATGAATTCCTACCTTAGGTCTTGAATTCTAAGTATGGAAGCCCAAATATGCAAATTCCCTACAATTCTTCTAAGTCTCAAGCAATACTCCTTGTTGAACTCAATTTTCTCCCAATTCTCTCTCTCTCTCACGTTTGGTCTAGGAAAAGTGATGAAGGATGATGCCAAACACATGTGAATCAAGACTAAGATAAATGGCCTAGCACTAATCCACTCAATGGCAATTTGGTAGTAAATGAAAACCAATGGAATTTAACTTTATTTAATCTAATTTAATCATTCCAAATCAAATTTTAATTAAACATACCATAAAATCACATAAATCCTAATTAGCATAAAACACTCATCAATTTCTGAATCAGTCGCCGACAAGGCTTTCAATTCGCAATTCGAAGTCAAAACATGAACAGATCATTCGATGACAACAGATAGAACTGTATTCTAAACAACACACTCACACAATTAATTAAGGATTTCAGTCTAATCAATCACTTATCATGCTCAATCATAGTTTAACACTAATCAGAGGTGAGGATTGTCACAGTCTTCCCTCCTTAAAAGAGTTTGGTCCTCAAACTCGGATTACCTTCATTTTGAAAGAACACTGGATTTAGGAGGAACAATTTAGGATATCTTTTCATCATATCGTCTTCCATTTCCCAAGTGGCATAAATGCCACCATGGTTTTGCCAATCCACTTTCACCAACGGAATTTCTTTATTTCTTAACTTCTTGATTCATCAGTTTACAATCTGAATAGGCCATTCTTCATAAGTGTAGTCATCACTCAGCACTACACGGGTAGGCTCAATAACATGGAAGGGAACCCGAAGATAGTCCCTCAATATTGAAATGTGGAAGACATTATGCATATGCTCCATTTTAGGAGGAAGCGCTATTTGATACGCCACTGGATTAATCTTTTCAATGAATTCATACGGCCCAACATATCTCGGCGCTAGTTTACCCTTAACCCCAGAACGAGTCTAGCCTTTCATTGGTGTCACTTTAACAAAAACATGATCACTCACTTCATATTCCCTGTCTCGCCTTTGGATATCCGCATAACTTTTCTATCGGCTTTGTGCGATTTTCAATCTCTGTTGAATCAGTTTCACTTTTTCCGTGGTCTCATGTACAATCTCAGGCCCAAGCAAAGGCCCATCTCCAACTTCTGCCCAGCAAATAGGAGATCGCATTTTCTGCCGTATAAAGCCTCGAAAGGCGCCATACCAATGCTTGAATGAAAACTGTTGTTGTAGGCGAATTCAGCTAAAGGTAAATGGCTTTCCCAATTTCCTTGGAAATCAAGAACACACATACGCAGTAAATCCTCCAGAATCTGGATGGTTCTTTCTGATTGGCCATCTGTCTGAGGATGGTATGCACTACTCAACCTCAATTCGGTACCCAATGCTGTCTGAAGACTTTGCCAAAATCTCGATGTAAACTTTAAGTCCCTATCAGAAACAATGGACACAGGCACTCCATGCAATCTAACAATCTCATCAA